GAATCATCGTGTAAGTTATGTTCAGGTTAGACGAAGGGTACTGAGCAAGGCAGGTAAGTTGGTCGATGAGGTTGTAAACTTCCATTGACTGAGGTGGCTTGTTGGACATATATTGGACATGCTGGATCACCACTTACTTCGAAGTGCAGTGCTAGGAGAAGTTGGATTAGGTTGGAAGAGGACTCAAGATGGCCATGCCTAGATGAACCAATCCTTGAAGCCTCCGATTGTTTTTCTGGGCTGTGTAGGGATGTGTAGACTATTTGGCTGGGATCCTCGAGACGCTAAGAATCAGTGATTGAAGACTCTTGGTGAGATGGCTAGAAATCCGTCACGATGGCGTAGATGTGCCCACTCTTTGATTTCTTTAGAGCTTGAATGTTTTGATTAGTCTTGATTTTTTAAATTCCCTCTCTTTCCATACGCCTTTGTCTACTTCGATATCAGTCTTACTTATCCACTTGTTGTTTGTGTACTACTGTGAAGTGTGGAATCTTGAACCTATATACTTTTGTGCTAGGTTCTACTTTGATTTTATCTGTCTGTCTTTCAGTGTCCGCACCCTTCCGCAAATCTGCTAGCAACCTTTGCTAACTTCAACTTTGATATCTCGGGGTGTGATTGTGTGTCTTTTTGTGAGAACTAGGTGCGGCTGTTTACTTGACCCCACCCTGTCAATATGTTTTATCTGTAAAATTAACCCTTCGCGTTTCTGAATATTCGATGGCTAGCTCTCACTACTACATTAAGTTCCAAATCGGAAACTGTACTGCTTGACTGAATCTCAATTGACTGTCACCCGTGCGATTTTTGACTGAACGAAAGAGGGAGGCTTAAAAAGAAATGTGAAACTCACAGTTGTCTCTTACAATTTCTGCACACCAACAAATACATTGTGATGAAGTGAAGAATGAGTTCTACGGAAAACTGTCCTAGCCCCTACTCAAAGCCGATTTTTCGTATGCGTTTGTTTTGGCTGGTGATTGAAATGCACAAGGCTTTCAGAATCCCAGCCGAAAAAACAGATAATAGCTATCGCCTGTCGTGGCTGTGCTCAGACAACGATCTGCTTTTAGCTAGCGTAAACGATATAAAAAGAAATGTTATCTGACGTGACACCCACCAACTTGAACTCAGCAGTGAATGGAGAAGGGACATATTACCGTCAGTTATCACTCTAGAAAGTCAGTGGAAGACTGCCACTCCTTCTACAGCATGTGTTTGGGCAATGATCACGCGTTGCTTGGAGCATACATTTGTTGCACCTAAAAATTTAGAGGCAATACCATTGCGTGTGCTGTTTGATGATGGGAATACTAAGGCTGCTTTCATCAAGAAACTGGCTAGATAGTTATCGGAACAGAACAAATCAGTCATCCTGGAGAAGCCTGGTGCCATCTCCACTCTACTGCAAAGAGAAATTGAAAAAAGTAACTGACTTTCAGGCAGTGGTTAAAAAGGACCAGTTGACCTTAGTATCACGAAGAGTAATGAACAGCGAAGGCTAAAGAGACGGAAAAGGCAGCGGCGATGGGTAACAATAGATGGCTGTTTAGACATCAAGAAAACTAGGTCGAAGCGGTCACTGGTTAGTGGGACTATCGTGTAGAAGGACGAATCTGCAACCCACTCACATGAGAGATGACTTGAACGATGTTTGAAACACTTCGAGGAACTGTTCAATTGGTCTCCAGCTATTATGCTGCTGCTCACTATCCAGTTGAATTCTGAATAGAACATTGAGATTAAGCTTCTAATACTTGAAGAATTTGAGAGAGCTGTAGGTATGACAGCAGGGCTAAATGAGCCAGTAGTCATGATATTTAAGGATGGTGATCGAATATTATTGGTCAGGTTAACTGAACCGCTAGCACTAGAAATGATCCCTCTAGCTGGTTTCAATCACTGATTTTCTCAGTCTTCAAGAAAGGTCAGAAATCCTCCTGTAATAAACACAGGGGAATCAGCCTAATGAACATAGTTTCTAAGATTCTAGGTTTTTAGTTTTTAGATGTTCGAGTGGAGCTTAGGAACAGCAAACCGAAGAAAACCAGGCAGACGTTATACCTGACCGTGTTTGTATCGATTGGATATTCACTCTCTACACCAGGTTCTGGAACACAAGCACATTTACCGATGACCGACCCTAATTAGATTTGTCGACCTGAAGATTACAATCGATGTCACCTATCGAGGGGTCCTTCTGGCAGTGTCTGTCACTGAAAGGGCTATCGGGTAAGTAGATCAATCTGTTAAAGGCTCTATATTCGGGCACCTACGGGAGTGACAGAGCCTATGGTGAGTTGTGTACATCGAGTGATAATCGTCAAAGATGTCCACTATCTCCATTCTTATTCAACTTTTCATTAGACGAACCTCTCTCGTCGTTTTACTTTACAAGGATGGGTCTTATTATGAGAAAATCCCTAGAAAATATCGAGTACTCAGATCTTATAGTCCCATGAGGTGAAGACGCTGACAAGATGCAGAGTCTTCTGGACACCAGTGACAATTGAATACATTCTGGATGCGTTTCTCGCCACCCAAATGCAAGTTGTTGCTCCAGGACTGGTCTACAGTAGAGCCTAGTAAAACAATATGAATTGAAACTGTTAAACGTGTTGACCACTTACCTGCGAATTCGCATTAGCCCTTGGGGTTTATTGGTTGACAAAATCGCCGCACGAATACAGAAGACTCGATTGGCTTCCGCCAACTTAAGTCATTATTTTTAGCACCAGTGTGATATCCAATTTTAGGCCTAGTGTATTTCACTGCATTTCTCTTTGTTCTGCTATAAGACTTTGAAACATGACCATCAATCTTGGATGTGTGTTAAGCATGCTCAGTCACTGTATAGCTTACCACACAAAGTTGGACTGAAGTGTATTCAGGCTGGAAAAAGATTAGAGGTGGCCAGAATAAAGCGTGACATCGGTCAGCAAGTCTTTGACTGTTGATTTGAGTCCTGTAGGGAATGTAGATTTGTGTGTTGGGTTCCTCGTGACAACAGAAACCAGTGGTTGAAGACTAGGTGATATGGCTAGAAATCTATTCCAGGGATACAGATGTATTGCAAATTAGTTATCTCAGTATTCTGTCATTTCTTATCATTCTCTTCATGTTTTTCTACCAGTTGACTGCTCTCTGTTTTGTTTCTTTATCTTTCATCTTGGTTCATTGTTGCTTGGTGTCGTGATATGAAGTGTAGCAACTTGGATCGTTACGCAGTGTTGCCTGGTTCTGCGCTGATATTTTATGTCTATCTGTTTTCAGCATTTGTTTTATTTTTCCCCATTCTGACGTAGTGTGTGAGAAATTGGTTTAATATCAACGTATCATAGAACAGGGAAGACTACAGTAGACTCTCTTAATTTATGAATGTAGTGTAGTTGTCGCTCTTGCTATCAAGCAGTTAACAAAAATGTATGTTTTACTATCCGTTACATTATTGCCAAAGAAAAGTACACTTCAATCTTACGGGGAAGTTCATTGCTGTTACTGATTAGAAGCTTGATTTGCCATTTTCTTCTTTCCATACGTATTTTTGTGTGGCCGTGGCGACCACAGCTTGATGTTAAGTAGGATATTTACTACAATCTTTTCACTTTCCTCCATTTTTTACTACATTTACTACGTTGCGTTTACTTTGGAATATCACATGTCGTTTTTCTATCAATTACGAACAAACAGTTGAACAGCTTTAGATGAACACTTATTCCTTCATATTATCTACTGTATTTAGGATCAACTCACTTTATTTGTGTGCTTGATTCAAAGTTCACTACATGCAGAAATTCCCAATTAAATTGAGGTGTGTATCATTAGTTTCATTATCATTTGTTATCAACACTTATCATCTGTGTCGTTTCAATATCCATTGCGTTCATTGTAGTCATACAGCAGAATCTTTCATTCGCTTATTCATGATAAAACGTGATAGAAAGCGACCTAAATCAACATCCTAAGTCATCAGCCGCTAACGTGCAAGTTTTGGATTTCAACCTTATTGCAAAATTTTATCTTGCAGGTGACCAATCAAAATAATTATCCAACTTCTGATTTAGTGGTTTTATATTCTGAAGAAAACTGTATACAAATGACATGTTTTTTCTCAATTATAATGTTTTCCTTACAGTCACGGGCTGATGTTTGTCTTCTGATTTTCACGGCTCAGTGTAGTATCAGGTTCTGAGAGGGAAACAGTCAAGATTTGTGTCCGGTATAGGTGTCTCATTACGTTAATAGTGTTCTCGTACTTCGTATTATTCTATGTCGCTTGAAAATGTTCGCTAGATGAGTTTGTGACATAAATGATACCGAGACTGTTTCTTTACGCGTCACATATACCATCAATTTTTTAGGATTTCTTGAAATATAAATACAATGATTGCCTCGTTATCTCGGTCACTTACCCTTTTTCTCTTGGTTAGTTGATTCTGATTACGGAATACTCGTTCATTTTTGTCATGTGTGCCACCCTTTTATTTCACTATTAGTTGTTGTTACTAGTATGATATCATTGTGCTATGAATTACGAATTAGACTAGTCAAATATGTTCATTATCTTTCTATTGACATAATTCTGTTCCGTGAATATTTTCAACTATCCAGTAATTGCGGCTCATAAGAATTCGTGTGTTGCTATCAAGATTCTCCCAAAGCCACCTAGTTGCGTATTAGATCGATATAAATTAGAAGTGTAGGTCAGTAGACTATATCTCATCAGCTGAGTAAAAATGTGCTTGTCGTGAGACATAAAGTTAGTGGGCTTCACCCCCCATGAAGTCATGGTTGCGCACTGCTGATGAGTTGTAAGTTAGTAGGAAACAACTATCTGGTTTTCTTGGTTTTTAAATGGTCCTATAACTGATGTTGTTCCATGATGAAAACCCGTCTGAAATTAATCGGTTCCTCGCAAATATCCTTGTTCGTATTATTCAGTTCTCAACTATAACTAGTCGTTTGTATGACAAGTCTTTTTTTCCATATAATTTTAGCATAAAATTGACTTCGTAATCCACTTTGCTGCTTTGAAATCTGTATCAGAATCAACAGAACAGCCTTTACGGTACTATGAAAATAATTTAGTGGGCATACTGAATTTGTTGAAGGTTAGTTAAATTTTGAATATAATATCACCCTCATTATTTTCTTTTTGGAGAGGCTGGTGGTTCCTAACATTCCTATCAGGTCTGTACTTTCTAAGAAGTTTTTGGTATATTTATGTACCGTAAGACATCGAAACTACTGGTAAACTTCGTCATTCAATTTTTGTTTTGGACGACCTTATGATGTGGCTTCTACTATTATTCCAAACTGATGTAGAACCTCTCCCCCCCCTTTTTTATTATTAAAACGCAAGTGAATTCTGTGTGCCTTCATCGGAAACTTTTAAGTTTTAGTAGTCCACTCTTGATTTGAAAACTATTTAATCTGTTTACTCTGTCTTCTGTCTCCTTGTTAGACTGCTGAAACAAGTCCAACCTAATTGCTCTTTTATCATATCATTGAGGTTAGTGAAGTTTTTGTTCTCGTTTGTTCGACGTATGGCCTATGCCGTACAGATGTAACTTGCACAGGATATGTTGGCAATAAAGATATGTAATACTTGTCTCTGCAATGTTCAAGAATTCCTAGTGATTTTGCCACCGTAAATTTTGAGGTTTTGTTTTCATCATCATTTCTGTTCAATACACTGAAGAACATATAGGAATAATTCCTCTGTATTATATTTATTCCTTTTTATTTCAAACTGTTTCATTTCTCTCGTAAACTGGATTGACAACCTACTTTTGATACCTTCATAAGGCTGTTAAGGAAAGGCTATTGTGTAAACGATAAAACACGCTGTTTGTGACTCGATAGCATAAACCTGTTGTTTTTCAACAAATATCATATCTTTTCAGCTTTCACCCCTTAACCAATTTTATGTCATAAAGGAGATTACCTCAAACAGACTTAAATTTATACATCAGGGTGATGGTTAGAAGAGAAATGAAAACGTGAAGTAGGTTGGGTCGAATCTTGACATGATGTAAGTTTCCGTATGACGTTAGTGCATCATCCCGTTACTTAAATCTAAATTACATTGATGATTACTGAAGCTATATACCTGAAAATAATCCATTTTTGTCAAATAGTTTTATGGTGAAATAAACAGTTGTAGAACTGAAATTGTAAGGTTATCCGACAGGATGGTCAAACGAGTTAACCTAGGATACATCTTTTTATCTGCTTTTTAAAGGGATATTTATTCTTGTAAGTTTCGTAGGTTTCGTAATTTTTTCGTTCTCTGAGTTAGGTGGCTCAGTGGCGAAACTTTAAGCGTCAAAATAAACAAAGTTATTGATGCAAACACCAAAAAAAAAAGAAAGAACAATTGAACCTTCTTTTCTGATGCTTTATGTAGTCTATTCTAATAACGTCGGATGTAATCTATTATGATACTACGTAGATGCATCTGTTTTTCAGAGGTGACTGACATATATCAGAAGGCTTATCATCGAACTATAATGTTGAATGATGGAGAAATATGTAAATGCTTGATTTGAGCAGATATTTAAAAACATGTTGGATGCTCTCTTCTGGGTATCTACGGTCGACTACTTGCCTTTTAATTGACTAATTCTTCACCAATATTTTCCCGTAAGCTATAACCACCACATAGAGGATTTTCAGTATCTGTAAGCATTGGTTCAGAGTTCAGTTTTTAGAATTACTGTTGCACAGTGAATTCATCTTGTGATCGGCATCATCCTGTGCATGTACTAATTAAGGTGGTTGGCGATTCTAGATAATGTTTGAGAATCGATATCAGTTACGCGGATAAAACCACATCTTGATCATCATACCTCACCTAGTAACCGTTTTATCGCTCCTTCCTCTCTTCTTACCAATTTCTGCCATTTTTGATTACTTGCCTCTTCATTTCGCTATCTTTCATTTGGTGCATTCTATTTTGATGCGATTATATGATGTTCAGAAACATGAACTGTTATGCAGCAATGGCATGTTCCCGTGTTGATACTGACTAGGTAATGTGGTAAATCAACTGATGAGTCTAAAAGGCTTTATTGAATTAGATGTTTGGGACTCGTTATTTATTTCTAACGGTTATCCATCTCAACACAAAATGTTAACTACATTTTGGGCAGGATTTGGAAAGCCTGGGAGTATTCATCTGAGAATATGATACAATTCTACCAAGTTTTTGACTAATGCTATCAATCCTGATAGGGAGTGTAGGTCTACTAGCATTAATCTTCATGACAAAACTGTTGGGTTTTGATATATCTTAGTCTGTCATAATGGGGCAAATGTATATATGCCTTATTTTCATTTGCATCTGAATAACCTTACTATTTCCAAATGTCTATTCCTTTTTCTCTCTTAATTCATGCTGAAGTTGTGTAGGTAGTCTTCTTTTTAAGAGTCAATCATCAGATGATCATTTTTGTTGCATAACGTATGTGCACTTCAGTTTTTGCTTCCCCTTTTGAATGGGTTTTGTGAACTACTAATATTATGTATTGTTTGATCGTTGGTAATGTAGTTGGAGAAATGGCCATTGTAGTCTCTACAAACTGAAGTTCTCAGTTTTACTTTTTATGTTTACTTCGCTTAGAATTTCAGAGTTTATTGCTCGATAGTTCTTGTATTTTTTCCTCTTTGACATCTTTGAAAATGTTTTTTAACTGAGTAGTTTTCAGTTTGAGCTCTCTAATTACGTATGATAACCTCATTATTTATTCACATACGCGACCTGAAGTTCTTTTGATTTATAATTTTATTTATGTATAAAACTTTGATTCACTGGATTAGACACTTATCTTTCAGACCACCGGGTTACAAATTCAAACGCAGTTCCACCTACTGTGTAGTATTGACTCATTGGTTTCAATAGTTGACTTTCAACCAGTCGGTCGCTGGTTGAAATCTCTCTCCATCTACTGAAGTTTGGTCAGCGAGGTAGTAGCATTAGTCCTCACACAGCATGTGTGGCTAACTGCCTACAACACTAATGTTCACGTGTTTGTTGAGTGCATTGTGATTTATTATCCGGTTACGGAGATTTAAGCAGCTAAGTAGTATCATTAATTCTTATACAATAACCGTAGTTTATTGCTTAGTACCCATACTCACATTGACTTTTATTTGTTTACATATCAATTCAAATATGATCCCATAATGCATTCTAGTCTCAGTTCACATAAACCGTTTCACATTTTAAGGGATCTTTTTGTTCAATGATTGTCAATGTATAGTCTTGCAAATGACTTTTTAACCAATCGTCTTTTTTTTTATCGCCCAGATAATGAAAGCACACCATGTTAAAAATATCGTATTCTCTAGTTCAGCTACTGTCTACGGTGAACCACAGTTCCTACCACTTACTGAGAAACATCCTATAGGAGATTGTCAAAATCCGTATGGAGGTACGAAATTTTGTTCTGAGCTTATCTTAAAGGTAAGTTAATAAATATGTATAAATTTTTCATTTTCCATTGTTTTATTAAAACTAATTTAATTCAGCGAGTAAAATAGGAGTCAAATTACCAATACGTAATATTTAAATAAGTTTATTAAAATATTATGATGTCAAAATGACGACGTGTTGTAATAGAGTTTATTAAAGTTTTTACCGTCAACAATACTAACAATGAGTGTGTTCATTAGTGTGGATTCTATTTTCATTTTGTTTCGTTCATTTGGTCTAGTTGATAGTAAACTTTTCTTCTCAAAGAAATTAGTTCTCATAAATCATACTGTAATGATCACACATTCGCGTGAAGACTTACTGTCACGATGTCGTGTTAGTTGACAGCAGTTAGTTATGCATACAGAAAGTTCTCACCAGCATTATTTATGTTCAGATTTGTTATAAATTCAGTTATAAAGATGATTTGGCTCTCTTTTATTCTGTTGAAGATTGATCTACTGTAAGGAGATCCTTTAATAAACCTGGAGTATTTAGATGATGTTTTCTTCTAGATGGAGATGTTTGCAACATTCAAGGTGCACTTGACTTTTTGAGCTAAAATTAGAAAATATTTCATAAATTTTGCGCACTCGTCAAATGTCGCATGATGCCGCAGGTTTCATTCACATTAACTCCCTGTTTAGTGATGAGGAGTGGAGTGATAAAATGCGTTGACCACTTCATTCATTTGGAAGCTCTCATCAGACTTGACCCTCTATTTGCTAACCTAATTTCGATGTAGATGCCAAACGTTTGTCTTATGGCTTTCAAAATGCATTGTCTAAGGCATTTTTTAAGTATCTGATTGCTGGTCAAATAATAGATGGATCACATAAAGATCATATATTTTTCTGATGAACATAATACATGACTGTTGTAGGTAACAGAATTAATGGTGTTGCAGACATATGATCATGATTATCTTTGGAGCATTGGAATGTCAGAAGCATTTAGAAACCCATAGCATCCTTTGGTCGTGGAGTTCTTTATAAAGCCAAGACAGTCAATAAGTTATGCAGCTTCATGCATCGGGATAGTTGAGGTATATGTTACTACATACTTAATCATCATCTGTTTCTATATCCCTTAGTGGTTGTAGTAGAAATAGATCAATAAAATAAAAATTCTGCAGGCCAATACATAAGAGTAATCTGTGAATTTATTGACTGTCAAAATCGTGTATTTCTCTGGAAAGGAGTTTATGGGTTTATGTAGTTTTCTAATTGCGAATACTAGAGGATTTGTCTCAAAGTTTACCATAGTACCACAGATGTATTCACGCCTTTTTTCGATCATTAATGTTGTATTATTTGGTTTGACTCCTTTTGCTTTATCGCTATGACTTTAGATCAGATTATTTGTGCATACTTGTTGTTTGTCTCATTGCTTTATATCTTGATGTACTGATTTTTGGTTTGGTCAGTTAAACTGATATTCAGTAATACTAGGCCTAATGTTGATATTGACTGACTAAACCTATTTACTGCAACTTAATAACCTCACCTCAGAGTTATTGGGCTTATTTTATCTATTCCGTTTGACTGTGTCGGTCAGTGCCGTTTCTTCTCTCAGTGAAATGATTGTTATCTTTGTACTTGCAATATGCTCTTATAACTGGTGTATATACTCCTAATATGAAGCCATTATGACTGTCTACAAATGGTTATCCAATCAGATACATCAGTAATCGCATTTGAAACTTAGAAATAACTTATATATACATGTTTTTGGAGACTAACCACACATATTTTGTAAAGACTATTATTACTACTTGATAGACTAACGCCACTTTCCTGGAATGTGTGGTTCACCATTGAATCTAATTCCATTATATTAACAGAATTCAGTGTAAACGAAGATATCAGCACTGAATAACTTGCAGCTGCATCCAACTAAAAAAGGTGCTTACTGAATTTCACTCCTAATCCGTGCTAAATAATATCAGAATTTAAGCGGACGTAGTATTAGTACATCCACACTAGGAGGGAATGTATCCAGGCAGGTTGATAGATTTTCTAGAGATCAAAGATAAGGAAATTTAGGTTCTAGTCATAGCTCATACTTGTTGACCAGGAGGTGGTGATAATCACGTCGTGAGATACTCAAATTTTTCTTCATTATACAGTTTGTTTTTTATTTTGGACGGAAATTAATGATTACTGTTACATTTGTTCAATTTAACTAGTGTTATCTGGCATGTTGTTCAATAGTTTGCTTTGATTAATTGAGAATTCATGCTAAATAAAGATTAGAAACCATTTTATTCCGTCGTTGTTTACGGGTTTCTAAAAATATGTCATCTTTGGCATGTGCTATAAACAATAATGACAACTGTTAAACGTCAAATATACGATCAGACAGGTGGTTCATATGCTGTCACCATTCCGCGTCATTTGTCACGAGTGAGGTAACGATTTACTGTGTTTGATACGAAAGTGTTACACTTAATACTAAAGAACCTTACTTTATGGATTCGTTACTAATTATAGTGTAATATCAGTTCAAGTCTGTTGTAGTGTGGAATAAGATTATCACAATCTTCATGTGTAACTGCAAACCGTTAAAGCATTTTTAACCAGTCGCTTTGTTCTGAATTTCCCCGAAAAAACACTTGAATCAAGGTGTAAGTTGGAGAGACGAAAAATCAATAGGATTTAAACCTAGAAAAGCCTCGAAACAGCCAAGGTCATTTTAATATTATATAAACCTTGTAATTTGTATATGTTGTTGGCGTTGACTTTGCAAATACACCTTCTGCTATATAACCGCCTTTTTTCCAATACGAAGGAACTGAGCGATTATGTAGGTTGGAATCTGAAGATTATTTGCACAGCCGTTAACGTATATATATAATTCAGGCTATATCAAGTTACCGTAAAGATATATATACATAAAAGAGTCAACTAGTTTTAATGGTGCTATACAGTATAATAGTCATTGTTAACTGACACCGTTCGAAACGCTACGGGAAACTAGGCACTGCAGAATATCGGTTTCTACTTGGTTGGGGATTTCATGTAAGCGTTCTTCTGACTGGACTACGAAACATCAAGTTGTGTTGAAAGTACCTTATCATACAACCACTGTGTTGTAGCTTAGTATTTTTCTGACTGTGATGATAAGAGCAATTTTGTATTGCATGTGTTGGGTGTTGACCGGTTGAACAAAGATTCAGTAATCAGTCTCTCTCTCTCTCTCCACATAATTATATCTGACCTAAGTATAATGATTTTATCCCACCCTATTTTGTGGTTGTGTGTTAATCTATGCATTGCAATAACCCAGTGTTTTTCTGGATTATTGATCTTATTCGGTCTGTCATTCTACATTTAGGTAAATTCTTATGTTCAGCTAGCCGGATCTAGCCTAAAAGTGGTAAAAGAGCAACCTTTTATTGGTTTTTTTGTCGAAATAAATTTGAGAGAGGACTAATTGCCGTCTTCAAAGCATTTATAACATAGTTTAGATGCATATGTATGTCTACATATACACATTTCCTTCGGTCTTCTTATCTGCAGGATTTATATGCATCCGATCATTCATGGAATATTATAAGTTTACGTTATTTTAATCCAGTTGGCGCACATCCGAGTGGATTAATTGGTGAAGACCCCAATGGCATTCCAAATAATCTAATGCCTTATGTTACCCAGGTGGCTAGTGGTTTAAGACCTACAGTTAATGTCTATGGAAATGATTATCCAACAACTGATGGAACAGGTGAGTATTTGATTTTGATTATTCCTTCTTCATAATGTGTAAATCGTATTACGTTGTTAGAAGTTTTCAAAAAATTACGTCATTCTGCTGGAAGGATAAGTGGCCTATCAGGGCGTCCTATTTGATTGTTTAAATCCTTTAGAAAAAAGCTCAAAATCCCTGAAATGTTTTACAACCAATCAATGTACTTAGAAGTATCAAGAAAAAACAGGTCATCATGCGTGTAAATATCAAATTGTTTGAAATGCCCTTTTACAAAGGCCTGGAAACAATGAAGGTCATTGCAAAGATATATATATCATTGTGTTTTCCGCATAGTTTGGGAGTGTTATGCGCTCTCTATTTTCTCTGGAATTAAGCGACTTTCAAGGGTGGAATTCGGGGATCATTATTAAAGTATCGAACTGATTCCATGACTCGCATATTGAGGGAGAGAGGTTAGTTCGTTGACGGAACGATATAATTCTAATTTCTCCAATTGTGTCACTAAAGGGCGTGGAGCCGCAGAGGAAGGGGCGTTTATTTTCACCACAAACTTACATCAGTTAGGAAATCTTTGAAAACCTGGGAGCACCGGGCAGCTGTTCCGTCCCGCTATTGGATTCCTCACCAGTAGGTGCCCACGACCCCTCCAGGGATCGACCTCACGGCCGTTGAACCCCGACCCGGTGGCTAAATAGTTGACATGTTCGCCGTGAAACCTTAAGGTCCTGAGTTCGATTCCTGTGAGGGTTTTTGGGTACGTTCGCTTGAGGAGTCCCATACTAGGACGAAACAGCTGCCCGGTTCCCTCGGGTCCCACGGGTACCCCGACTGATATCACTGCATGATGAATATAACCTTAAAAATACTTAATTGTTGTAAACCATGTTAGTTGTTATATAACTGTAGCGAAGGTATGAAATGGTAACAATCTCGCCATATTTTTCTCTTGAATTCTTTATTTAAACTCATATCCAATGTTCAATGCTATTTAATGTTAAAATTCATCCTGATGTCCCGCTAGTCTGTGCAATTAACAACTATGTCTTGACTAAAATATTCTTTGAAATGAGATTGCTTGTGGTGTTGTTGAAAAGAACACTATATCCTTATTATTATAACTCTTGACATTGTTTCACTTACTTTTCCCTTGTATTCAAACTATTCTTTCATATTTCGGTACATAGTTTAATGATTGTATTTAAGGTGAGTTTCTTGAACAGACAATTATAAGTGAATTATTCGGTCTCATCTTTCTTGTTGTTTTTCTTTCTATTTCTCTGTCTAGGTGTTCGAGACTATATTCACGTTGTAGATTTGGCTATCGCGCATACTATGTCACTAGACAAAATTAAAGAGAATTGTGGTCTAAAGGTTTGTATTGCTGATTAAATTGTGAATATATTGATATCAATGTGTCAATGTAGATGATGGAAGTAACTTGTGGAGATTGGATTAAATTAGTAGCAACATTTAATTTGGAATTCAACGTGTGGGATCCACTAGAGTCTGTGTGTCATATGTATGCCCACTGATTAGGTCAAGCTCTTGAACTCTAGTCCCGTCCCACGTAATTCAGTAGGAATAAATCTGCACACAATAAGTGTGTGACTCATAGCCTAGTGCATAAAACTTTGTACCAGTTCGGGTTCTTATATTATTTTGTCATGCATTAGGAGGTTCTGAATACAATCTTGATATTGCGTAAACATATAGCACAATTCTGCGTTTTATGCTCTAAGTCAACTAAGTGTATGAATGCTTCAGATTCGGATGATGATTGTGATGGGACAAGAATTTCAGTAGGTAGATGAACAATAAGATTCATTTAGACATTATGGAATCGCGTAAAGAAGTATTTATTGTCAATTATCACCTAGCTGTTATGATTGTCTACTCTGTGTCACCAAGTTAGATTCGATACTCACGGACTATTCTACAGGAATATTTGACATCTTGAAGCAGTGGCGATATAATATACTGATTTGGTGGGGATAGCTAATATAGGTATTAATGATACCGATACCCACCTTTCATTATTGTTGTTCTTACTGAAACTTGGACTTAGCATTATCTTTTAAGTTATTGATTTTCAATCGAAAACCGTATTTGGGGTTTAATGAGAAAACATTCATCTCAAAATTGTTGTAGGTAATGTCTATCGATAAAAATATTCTGTACTTTTGTGTATGTAGTAGAGCGCGAATAATTCATTCTACTATCGAATATTACTACTTTTATTTTATCTGTTATACCATTCAATTAGTCATATAACTTGGGAACAGGTGAAGGACATTCTGTACTGGAAATGATTCATGCTATGGAGAAAGCTTGTGGCAAAACAATCCCTTATACATTTTGTCCAAGACGACCTGGTGATTGTGCAACAGTTTATTCTGATGCATCTTTAGCTCTACAAGAGTTAGGATGGAAATCAAAATATGGAATTGATGTAAGTAAAACTAAATTAAGTACAGTTTATTTTTTCCATATTCATTTTGTTGCACTTATGAAAATAATGTGAAGAATACCGTGGACTTATATTTCATGCTTATTAACACATTTTCACCAGGATCTTGAATTTTGATGAAGTAGATGTTTTAGTGTTAGATGGTGGAGGCCATTCAGCAGGAAGCCCTGGAGCTTGGTTTCATTCCTGTTGGGACTTATCAGTAAGGCGTGTCCGCAACCATTATGAGATTGGTGTTACTTCAATGATTCAGTCCTGCATCAAGGGCTTAGTGACTGAGTTATTAAAGCCACTTCTGACCTATTGTATGATTGAATTTTGTACACGAATTGGTCACACCGATGGACAACCGATGCAGCTGTCTAGTCCTTAGTGCTTAGCACTGACCCCAATATATTTATCAAGTTGCCTTGCAATATGACCAATAAATGAAGTGATGCGAGACGGTGGTGTGGGTTATTTTGGTATTCTCCCAGAGATCACAGCTCACCTCAATCACAGACACTACGAAGTAGCTGTTTGGGTAACAACTGACCTTGTTGAGGATTGGATTAGCAACATTTATAGATTTTTTTAAACTGAGTAATATCATACTCTACAGTCTTCAGTTCTGACTGAATTTCATTGGTGATATACATCAAGATACCACTCTAACCTAGTTACCACAATGTAAAATTGGTTGATTGATTTCGGTCACATATGTAATGATACTGTTTGTGCTTTATCGACCACTTGGTGTTATTTTTTTCCTTTCACTATTCTTCTTACCCTTTAAAAGGTGACTCATGAGATTAATACATTTAAAAGGCTTCATCTCACTAAAATTGTGTTCATTTATGGGTCTTAGTTCATATTTTTGTACTCGACTTCTAATGAACATGGTAATTTGATATAAATTATTTATGAGCGTGTAAAATGCATTTATTGACCCCTTTATCAAATGATATATTGTTTTTGCCTATTACCATTCATAATTATATATCACTCATTTGATAGTTCTAAAAGAGAAAAGTATTCACCCGAGGGGATTATTGTATACAACCCTTCATCGTATCGTCTTCCATCAGTATCTTCATCTTTAAGCCGTAAATTCACATTGAAACCACTATTGTAGCATTTATTTAACTTCTGTTAGATACTTGGACATTACTTCAGAGGTTTGAATGACACAAGGTGAAAAGTTCCAAGCAGCTTTTCTTTATCTTCATAGAGACTGCCAACCACCGAGTTTGATACAAGTAACCGGCTAAATAAGTGAGATAGTTGATAGATTTGATTGCTCAACCTTTTATGTTCAAACAAAGCCAAAGTACAAATTAACTCAACAGAATTTCCTGTTATGAAATAAAAATGGACTAATGAAGATGATACTTTGAGTTAAATGCGAATAAAAGCTGTGCCTTATCATCAGCTATGTGAATGTAAATAAAAGGCCTAATATATGTGTGCATAGACTTCCCTTTTCTGAAATTATCGCAAGTATGTATTTGTCGCTGTTGCAAACTGAAGTGTTCTCTCTCTCTTTCTCTCCTATTTTATCGGTTTCTTCGTTCTATGCAATCTCTTCATACTTGAGTCTGTCCTTAATGCTGAGGTACAGAGTTGTAGCTCATCGATTTAGAGAGATAATTTTCAACCAGTTGGTCATGGGTCGAATCCCGCTCCACCTAAGGAGATTTGGTCAGCAAGGCGTTTCACACCTGTGCACAGGGTAGCTAACTATATTTTGATCAACAGTTCAGTCATAGCTGGTCACTGATATTTGTTCACAAATAATATGCTTTGATGTATGGAGATTCCAGTATCCGTAATTTTGTAGTCAGTTTAATAAGCTAGTTTTTATGATTACATACATTTCATTAGTTTCATTTGAATTCACTTCAATGGTTCACTCTAAGCATTAATAATAATATTTTACTATCTCAGAACAACATATAATTTTTACACAATCACATCGTTTTCTCCTTTAAAAATTATGAACAACTTGGCTCAGGTATGTATTCTCTCTTTTCATCTTCAACTTAGAAAATGTGTGAAGATCTATGGAATTGGCAAGTGAAAAATCCACAAGGTTATCTAACTGTTCTGCAGTCTGGTGATAAATAAATAATTGATAATTTCTCAGGCTTTCTTGAATTATCTCTTCATTATTTCCTTTTTCTTTCTTTGATGTATTATTTTTTAATTTTATTTTGTTTTTTCACGAAAGTGAACTGTGTTTTTCCTAAGATCATTTGTTTGTATCAGGTTTTGTCTCTCTTCTTTTCTAATGTTGATTTTACTTAATATGTGATGTTTAGAATAAACTGCTTTTGATGCTTAACTTCGTGTTATTTTTGTGAATCAAATGAAATCAGCTTGAAGAATATTTGAAAATGCAAGAGATTTATGCATCTACTTCGAATTCTTTCAGGTTTAAGTCTAAAAAATTTAATGAATAAGTTGATGTGTAGGACTGTTTTGGCGGTTTTTTTTTCGTACAACCTTGTTCTTAGTATTTCCACGCACAACTTACGCTATATCCATCCATATTGATTGGTCATATAGGTGTTAAGTTCTCGTTAGCGAATCTTTATTTTAAAATTATTCTATAACTTGCATTTTTGCAGGTGTTGAAGTTGAACATCATCAAAGACTTCAGTCTAGAAACGATTTTTTTACTTGTCTTCACTGATTAGTGAGGTCGTAAATTTTGTCATTTGTGTTTCTTCACATATATATATATATATATATATATATATATATATATATATATATATATATATATTGATGTACGGATATGGCGATTTTACTATCGAGCTGTATCCAATCACTTATAGTGGACACCGAGAATCAGTTGTACACAATTCTTAACTCTAGTGCACATCTTGAAGTTTCATAGCCTATGAAACGAATTCGATTTAGTCCAGTGATTGTTGTTCTTGCTTTGCGAAAATCCATAAAGGGAACTATTTGCATGATAATATACTGAGTTGATTATTCATTACTTCATCGGTCTCTATAGTTCTTTCATTAGTATTGTTTTGTAGTAGGAACTACTTTTGAATTTGTTCACAGTAATTTCTTTAGAGGATAGCATACTTTTGAAAAATTACAGTCTAAACAACTCACCTGTCAGGTGTTAAAATTTTTCTTTACAAAAGTAGGAGTCGAAAGATTTGTAAAGTAACATAAATTGATCTTATTTCAAAGGTTCTTATTAGCCAGGTACGACATGGAATTTTAACCAACTATTAAGAGTAACAAAACTGTAATGAACTTTTAATATGTTGCAAGGGACATCTAGATCCAAGTTTCCGTGATAATAGTGACTGAAGAAAGCATAAATATGATAGAAGTAAAGTCAAACAGAATTGCAAAGGTCTTATATCAGCAATTCACCTACGGTGTTCCGAAAGATACCGATCCCGAAAGTAAATTTAGAGGATTACTAAGGACTGGCGTGGGTTGTGTTAGGCAACGGAAATGACAAGACTGTCGTAGAGAGAAATAACAAATTAACACGAGTTCCATTCAGAAAAAAATGAGAGGGGTGAAAGAAATAAGGCGACGTCTGTGAGAAGATCTTAAGGGGTTATATGGCGGTTTTATGAAACCAACTAGAGAAGAATCGCTAAGCTTCGGGACTCTCGTTGGGAAAGTTTGACTTCGAGGTAATGTAGAGGTGATTGTCGTGGCGGACAGTCACTTTGAACCACATGGATAATCAGTGACGTACTCAAAGTGCTGGTGAGATCACTAACCTTTCGCTACCCTCCCACTATCTTCCTTTGACGTACTGCGTAAAAACCGGTCGCTCCAGTTCATCCACTTCCTCTTCGAACTCTTCTGCATTAACCATACCAATCCTGACTACTTTTCTTCCTCATGAACAGCGTGTTCACCTTTACTCCCCTATTCAGCTTTCCCCATCTAGGCACTCATAGACGGGAGTCATAAAGGGCCCAAAATCTTCCTGGTAGCCTTAACTTTCCTAACCAACTCCTTCAATAGGTAGCGAATCCAAATCCACTCTCAATACACCTCAGAAAGGCCTAAGGGAGGGGCAGACGTTGTTTTCCTACCTAATACGGGAGTAGTACTGGACGGCAAGGACCAAGATGCAAGAACTAAAAACGACGGTTCAACAATTGACAGTTTTCTACACTCCTATTGTTGGTGCTGGATGTTAGATTGCTTCAGACCTACAAGCGTGCCTTGATGTGACGTCCGTAAGCTTATTTTCCCCTCTCAACCTCATGCTGTCTAATATAATTCAGTTTTGATGAAAAAATAACAAACTGTCAGCTGGCAACTGTATCTGGAACTTCCCATCACCTGGGAGACTTACCTTGCCCATTATTTGATCATACGACTTTCAACTAATTATTCCAATAACATTTCGACGCCCATTTTGAACTGAATCCCAAAAGAACTACAGCAACATCGTCTTCTACTCTATAAACGATTGTCAAAGTGTTCTCCATGAATATGGCAGTGTTTTACGTCGAATGAATTCTTCCCTGAGATAGTCACGTTCGCGCTTATCTAGTTAGGGCTTTCATTTCCCAAACCAACTGTTTAGCAACGAGTTGCCTGTGGAAAGTGAAATCTACAACTGATTACTACCATTACTCACCAAACAGACATCTGTGTGGTAGGTCTAGCTTTCTCGATCACCTCATATAGTTCAGGTTACCGCATCTGTAGCATTGAATAGTTTACTCGATGACACACCCTGAACACGTGGGCAGCTTTTAGAAGTCGTCTAGACTGTATACTTAGAAAAGTGAAGGTGAGGACGACAACTATTTTCATAACATCGCTTCTTCTTGTTTACGTGTTTAAAGACAAAGCAACAGTATATTGGTCGAACCAGTTGCCGAAATAACACTTCTAATGGGCGACATGAATGCCAAACAGGGAGCAAGCAACACACGAAGAGAACCGATAATAAATGAACAACCTCCTGGCGAAATGGAAGAAAAAGGAGAATTCTTTCCAGAAATCTGCAAATCTAAAACCTAATTCAACAGCTATATAACAACGCCACATGCCAAGTTGTATAGAATGGAAAGCTCAGTGACACTTTTGAAGTGAAGACAGGAGTAAGACAAGGCTGTCTACCATCACCGATCATCTTCCTGGTTGTGGTCTACTGGATTATGCGACAAATTGTGAGGAGCGAGAAGATGGGCATACCCTGCTGGACAGGTGAAAAAATCCTAGAAGATTTGTATTTCGCCGACGATGATTTATGTCTTATATCTTGCCGCACAAACCGGAAAGTCTACAGGCAAAAACCATCAAGTTGGCAGAAGAGGTAGCGGAAACGGGACTTTAAGTGATTGTGGAGACGACAGAGGTGATGAAGATACCCAACCAACAACAAGTATCAATCACCATAAATGGGAGAAACCTAACAAGTAGTCTCTTTCACCTACCTAGGCAGAATTGTTTCAACCACAGGCGGTGGCACACGTGAGGGCGTCAAAGCCGGGATCGGAAAGACAGCAAGGTAGGCCTTCAATAATCTGAAATCAGTGTGGAGGTCTACCGCACTTCACTCAACGTAAAGAACGAGATGCGGATTTTCAACACTAATATCAAGTCAGTGCTTCAGAGGCTTTGCGCGTCACGAAAACCATTTTCAAAAAACTACGGACCTTCATCAACAGCTGCCGCTTACGCTCGATACTGAAGATCAGATGGCCAGAATAATAAGAATAAGCAGGGAGGAACTCTGGCAACGAGCCAACCAAGAACCCATCGCCCAACAAATATGCAGAAGAAAGTGGAGGTGGATCGGGCATAAACTGAGAGGGCCGATTGGGGACATCATGCGCCAGGCCAGGCCGTCGAGTGGGACCCAAATGGGAAACGATGAGTTGGGTGTCTGAGCGAGGGTGACATGGAGGAGATCATGTGGGAAAGAAATGAAAGCTTCTGGGCAGTCGTGGAGCCAGGTTCAAAGGAATGCAGACAAGAGAGTGAAATGGCGACGTGCTACTGAAGCCCTATGTTTCACTAGGAACCCAAGGGACAAATAATCATAATTATCAAAACTAGTCAGTTGGTGCGTAGGTGAAGATCACGAATACGCATCGCCTAGTTTAACGATCGTTCCTAGTCCTTATACATCCAAAAAGTTCACATAGAAGGCTGTTTACTGGTATCCATTCGAGGAGCGCACTTTCTGCTCTACAACTCAATGCTACGCCCACACCCGCGAATCCATGAGAACTAGCCAGTGGTTCTCCAGATAATCGTGAGATGGATTTCGAAGATTCAATACTACGGTTATGTGAGATCAGGTGAAAAATCACACTCGGGTCCTGTATGTATCTCAGAGACACAGAACATACTCATGGCTAGGGATTCTAGAGTTTTGGCAAGCAGTGCTTGGCTCTCCGATGACAGAGTTTGCACGTTAAAAGTGTCTACATGAAATCGATAACAGGGTCTTAGGAGACTAGGAATGGGGTTTCAATGGCTTTGATCATTGGCGATAGCTGCAAAGTGAGCGGTTGGGGAAAGTGTGATAGGCTTGATGTTAGTATCAGGGGGTAAAGACAGAGCAGGGGACAGAGTTGCGGAGGATGGATTATGTTTTACTGGGTCTTGAGTACTACTGGAAGTGTGCGAGCGGTTGACGCTTCCCGGTATCCCAAAGACAAAAATTCTGAGTGATCGCAGAGCTCACAGGACATTTCCCTGAGGCCTGTTACACACGACCTTTTGTGGAATTTTGTTTTGAGGTTTGGTTGTTCTAACACCGAACAGAGAGAACTCATACCGCAAGCACCGGAGGATCGTGGGGCAGGTGGACTTTTATTTTTGGGCCGACCTTTTCTAATCCCTTTTTCTCGTCGGGAAGGCAACATTAGTGTGCCACTGCTGGTCCTCCAAGGAAAATGCCTCATTGCTGTCACACCCCAACCCGTTAGTACTAGTATGACTTCGCCCTCAGACTACACTACAACAGTAACTGCGTTTCGTCTTACCACTAATCAAGAGAGTTTTCTGGCATGGTAGGACCTCCAGGAAACAAGCGTCCCACCAGCATGGCTTGTTGGGTCATTGTGACATGCAAGCGCGACCACTGCATTTATGTAGCAACTATCGACTGGGCATTTTACCCTCCAATATCACGTAACTTTTATGAGTTCTGACCTACATTGATTGTTTAAACGTATGCAGTACCATGCTGTTTCCACTATTCTTATCACCAATGAGATTATCTAGACACCTAATATTTGCATGCTTAATTTCCGTGTCACCATAGACTAAAGAATCCACCATGACTGACGTAATGTTTCGTATGCGAGAAAAAATTATTTATATTAGCATAAAGCTTAATGAGAACCAGATGAAAACAATATTGTTCGCCTATACGTCTTCTAATTTGACCAGTTAGCGTCAAAGTAGAACCCGACACTACTGTGTAACGGTCCAAGTTGTCACATATCAGCACATTAAACTGGAAGGCACCAATATGAAGGATAGAGAAATGAGGAACAAAGTAGCCAGTAGCCCAAAAGTTGTGAAAGGAGAACAATGAACGAAACAATAGGGAAATCCGATGTGACGATAAGGATGAAGATAATGTTTAGGTACATCTGCGCTACAGAGGTGACACCTTTGCACATTTGTGGAGCTTGGTCTCTCGGAAGCAGACGTCACAATATGGTAGTGTTTGATCTGGTATATACTGAATAACTGCCATGGAAAGGACGTCTTCCTTGTCTTTGCTACAGCGAAGTAAATTGCGTGGCGATGAATCTATATCTCTCCTAATATCATGTCACCTGGAGTGGGGTTACTTATCTGCCGTCTACTACTGCGGACTATTGGGTAACACCACCCAGGGTGTGATCCTTGAAAGTTTTAACGTAATAGCGATGACAGATAAGATGCGAATTTCGTGGCTGAAGCGATGCACTGGGTGCCCTTTGAAAGCCAAGCTGAAAGCATGGCGTAAAAGGAGGCTCTTCAGGAAAGATTCCAACCGTGGTGCATATATGACTGTGGAATCTGTGCGACGTCAAGGCGCTTAAAGACGGTGTCGTTCTACATGATCCTTATCCAGGAATCTGGGGCAGACCCCAAGAACCTATATCGACTAACGTTGTGGAGGAAATCTACTGACCAAAGGGCATAAGCTATCAACACCAATGGTACGAGTAGAGGAAACTTGTAGTTTTTTGAGCTCTCGCTTCGCGTTTCTTTTTCTCCGTTATACTCTTTCGGTGGTCGTAAAACTTCCTATGTTTTTCCTGCATGCAGCTTGGATGTAGCGATTGCCTTTCTTCGAAGGGATTTTTTGCAAGCTGTAGCTTGGCTTATTCGAAAGAGCAGCAGAGCTTCTCACAAGACCAAGTAATATTTTCCGATCCCTGCTTTCATGGGCATTTGCAAGTAGGCACTGTTATTGAAAAATTGCCGGAGGAAGGACGAGTAGGGGACGAGTAAAAGAGGGGTGAGAAGTACCTGGGGAAAAATAGGTGTTGTTAATAATAATATGGAGACGGGATGGGTCTTAATGCAGATACTACGGTTCGGGAACACAGGGATGGGTGGGCATACCTTTAGTCGCTACTGGCGCACGCTGGTGGTAAGCCGTTTTTGGGAGCCAACTGATGTAGATTTGGCTACTTCCTTCTACAGAGTTCTGCAAGGCACACGGTGTGGGGAAAGAAAATGAGTCCCACTCTCATCCTTGCCCAATGATTGGCTATGTGAATGTGTTTCTGCCTCGAACCTGTTAGCTCTGGGCCGACTGTGATGCGCTCCTGGGGTGGCCCACTTGGCAAATGATCTTGCAGGCTGTTACATATTCAGCTCTTTCTCCTCTACAGATTGACATGAGTAAGTTGGGTTAGCCAAGGCTGTTCGCTCATGTTTTGCTGGTTAGCCTGACAACAGACCTGGTCACCCTTCTCTGTACCTCATGAAGGGTGCGAGTGGTGGGTGCTGAAGCTTGCAGCACCACCCTAGGGATCCGGCCAAACATTCCATCATCAAACCAAAATTACGAAGTGTTTGCGTGACTTCCAACGTTACCCACTGTGGAAGAATCGTACTGAATACAGGTTACCGCCAGTATGTTCCGCGCAAACTTCTCAAAGATTCTCACAGGAAAACATCGGGGATGCAACAACATTCAGGGATCTGTATTGAGGCAGTGTGTGAGGGCTCTAGTTGGTTCGACCTGATGCCTATTTAAACACTACTTAGGCAGACGAAAGCCCCGTTCCTTTTCTGGAAGGGCGGAACCCAAATCGTTAAGGGTATTTTGCGCTTCTGCCATTGTTGTCGTAAGTAATGAAGCTCAAGCCAGAAGACCACATCAGAGAGTACCCAGACGAAAATAGAGCGCTGAGGGGTGCTTGAAATGATTCTCGAAACAGGGGGTCCTGGATATCTGGCCCTTTAGCATCCGGCGATAACTGGATGGAAGTCCGGGACCTCCAAGTCCCTGATTTTCTTGGATTTCGCCAGAGCCTTTGGCGCGGTTTGACACCCCATACCCATATGCGCAATAGTGAGGTTGGGTATTTGCGGTCAGTTGCTAACCTGGATGGATGATTATCAAGGCGGTAGATAGCCCAACACGAAAGTCAACGGGGTCTGCTCGATTCGGAGAACACTTTCATCTGGTGCATCGTAGGGTAGGATTCTGAGTCCGCTTCTGTTCTTTCTTCGTGTGAGTGAGCCTCCATTAGGTCTCAGCTACCTGAGTTTACCGTGTACTGACGATGTTAAGTTGTGGAGAGCAATGATGTTCGAAACAGATTCGAGGGCACTTCAGGGTGGAGTCAGATTGCTTGTAGAGTGGGTGAATAACAGCCAACTGGCATTTAGCCTCAATAGATGCCAAGCGATATTTCACCGCACCCCGGACCCATAAGGGTATCCTGCTTTCCTTTTGGGGTACGACATTCCTACACTATCACAGGAAGAGACCCGCGACTAATAACGACTACAAAGCCAGACACCAGCTCCGGTTATCCAGGAGGTGACTCCGTAGCCTGGACAACACTCCGCCTCATAAGCAGACATCAAAGTGCCGTCACCCCGGAACTCTGCCTGAGGCTGTACAAGACTTATATACAACTGCACGCGGAGGTCCACAGTGTCGTCGCACCACCATACCTGAGGAGAGACGTGAACCTCCAAGGGAAAGTTCAGAGGCGAGCAACGAAGAGTATTGTGGGAATGTATTCGAAACCCCATGGTGACAGGCTGGAAATCCTAGGACAACCCTCATGGTGATTTAAAGAGACCCTCTAAAGGGCAAAAACCGATGCCCTTCACACTTTTTCTTTTGTGAGTCTTTGGTCGCTGGGACGCACCGCTTCCCGTGGTCGCTATCGGTCCTTCTGTTGGCAGCTTCGAGAATAGGTTAAACGGCTGAGTAAAGATGCACGGCTCGTGCTCATATAGCTGGGATACGGACTGGGCTGATATGACCTACTAACTTGGCATAACTAAGCTCGGCCAACACCCCCCTTTTGTACCACCACGATCACTGCAAACCAGTCTAAACCTTACACTTCCCCATTAGACGCCTCCTCCAGTCACCGTCCCCCACTGGTTACATTACAATTTCTTTCTCCATGATCCATAATATAATCTTACTTGCTCTTTCTCTTCCTTCTGACTCCACGGACCCACCCCAATTATCAAAGTCCTCCTCATTGCATATCTCCTATGAATCGATCTCGGTTTCTCCTTCCCTTCCGTTCCTCCTCCTTTCACCTAGTTTATTCCTCACACTTTCTTTCCTTCAGGTTCGCTGGACATCTTTTCTTCTTGTTTTCTGCAGCCAGCCTGAGCGAACGTCCGGGGTCACGATACCTGAGGAATACAGCTGCTCCATGGCCCGTCGGCAAATAAAACAATCCCTACAAGATTAATCAACACCCAACTTCTCGTCAGGCTAATCAGAGCTACAGCAGATATGTGGGTAGACCTACTGCATAGGGATCCACCGAAGGCCTGAAAACATTAGCGAAGATCTAGAAGCGAACGTTTTAAGCTTTGACCTGGAGAAATGCAAAGTGGTGTATCTTCGCACGCCAGAAGCGATGAAAGTCAGCCACACTCTTAACACGTGTGCAACCACCGAGGTACCCACAGAGAAGGAGCCAGGACTAAACTTTTCCGATGCGCTAGACACTACTGACAACTATGAGGAAATGGCAGTAAAGGCGAACGCCATTACGCACTCCCTAAGAAGGCAGCTTGGATCGTTAACCCCAAAATTATTCCTTATGGTGGTTAAAACCTACGTTAGACCACACCTAGAGGTGTTCAGTACGATAGCCCCCTCCCCCACTACCAAAGAGAGACGCAAATACTCTCAAGTAGGTGCAGAGAAGAGCGACGAAGTCGGTTGTCGGACTAAAAGGCAAAACATATGCGCAACGCCTCAGACGGCTCGACTTGTTCACGCCAAGCTATCGAAGGAAACGGGCGGCCTGATAACATTCTATAAGATCATTCACCGAGTGGATCGCCCAAACAGGACTACGTTATCGGTCCAGAACCGACAGTCCCGTGAGAGCTCCACTCGCACACCCCACCATAAGACAAAGACGAGAGTCAGATCTAATTTCCCCTCCCACTGAGTATGTGCCTTATGGGACGGTCTGCCGGAGAAAGTGGTCACGGCTACGTCAGTCAACTCCTTCGAACGACTTCTGTATGAGTAGGTGGGCTCAAACGGCTTACCACGAACATTTGTCAGTAGCAACTGACGATATGCTCTTCCACCCATGTATTCCCTAACCCTAGTACCCTCAGCAAGACGCATTCCTTTCCATATTGTAACCAGTAACACTTATATTTCCATAAGTACTTTTGACTCCTCTTTTTCTCGTTTCTCACTCACCCTATTTCTTGCACCTTCTAAGTAGCTCTCAGTACTTACTTGCTGGTACTTATAAGAACAAGAACTGCAGACGGTTGATTGATCTTATCAACAGCTCTGCTGTCCCCCAAAACAAGCCAAGCTACAATTTGCAAGTGAAATGCCTACAAGTAGACAATCACTACTTCCAGAGTTGTAAGCAAGAAAACGTAGACTCCTGTGACCATCGACGGAGTACAATCGAACAAAAGGAACCGAGCCTCAAGACCCAGAAGTGACAGCTCAGAAACTACGACTTTCCTCTACTCGCACCACTGAGGTCAGATGCTGTTGGAACCAAGTTGAAACAAATCAGTTGGTTGGCGTTTACTCGAAAGAAGCTATTGGACATTGGATTTCGTGGAGCGTAATACTGTTACTACGCTGCTTTTTTCAGATGAAGTAAGTACTTTTTTTTAACAATTGTAAGAGTTTTCTAATCGAGAATGATGTGATCAGAAGTTGTTTTAACATCCATACTTGGGACTTAAAGCGTATCTTCGTTACCACCCTCATTCTTGTCCACTGAAGTTATTTAACAGAATAATCACTCCCAATCGGATATATATATATATATATATATATATATATCTGCTTTGTACTCTCACTCATGAGTCCATTTTATGGGTCTTTTATTTGGAATACTGGTAGCCACTAGTTTCCGTCAGGAATTTTAAATATATCCAATATTGATAGTGCGAGCCTAGAAAACTGGTTGTTTTTGATCTCTCGCGTCTAGTTCTTAAAGCTTGGTTCGAGTTGTTTTGTTATAAACTTAATTATGGGGGTAACTCTGCATAGTTTCGTTTTCTCATACACTAGTTTCATTTTAGTCTTAACTTGAAACTTTTTAGCTTGTGGAGTTTCCTCAGCTGTTGTGAAGTATTAACTGAAGTGATCTTAGCATATGCTATGATTCACCCATATGGGTGAAAGTTGCACTTCTAAAACTCACCAACCAATACCTCTCCTGGTGATGGCAAAACATCATACCCCCCTTAAACTAAAAGAAAACTCTGCTGCTTTCATTTCGCCTTTTCTCATTAAACTTCTGCGAGAACTGTTCAGTAATAATGGAATGCATAATAAGATTACCTGCTTTTACTCGGAAATATCTTGGTGGCATTTCGTACTTGTAGCATAACCACATTGGGAGTAGTGGTAAACTTAAGCGTTTAGTAGTTGTCAAACCATCCATTGAGATACCATATATCTCGTAGTATTAGTTGCCATAAAAATACGTTTCAAATGTAAGGGTGATCGCAGCAACCAACCGTACCAATCCATGAAGTCTCTGACTTATGGTCTGAGCCTATTATGGGAGTTAAATCACCTGGTTGGGGTTCTAGAATTTTTAGGCATCAGTGAACATGTAGCCTCGGTAACCAGTCGAAATCGACCATACTGGTTTGCGTTTATTAACCCCATTGATTTCCGAAATTTGGACAATTTCACTATCTTTTATACTCAATACTTCTCACATTGCTTTGATTTATTTCACTATTGATACTGGCTGATGATTGGAAGTGAAATGAAAACCTGGGTTGTAGCAGGACGTGAACCGGTGACCTCGAGGTTATAGGTCTCGTATCCTATCGACTGTACTTCGAAATGGCTGCTTACCAGGTTTTAACTTATATTTAATCTAAATATTTCTAAATGGTTGGGACATGTGTTGCGCATAATTGATCACCACTGCCTCGTCACGCATTGTTGACTGAAGTAGGTTTAGGCTGAAAAAGGTTGAAAGCAGTCGAACTTAAACGTTGTATTAGTCAATGAAGCCTTTGGTTGTTGATCCGAGCCATATAGGTACTTCTCGCTTCGCATCCGCGTGACAACCGAAATTGATAGTTGGAGGGGATTGGACGATGTGGTTCTAAATATATATGTAGCGCAGATGCACCTGAACATTATCTTCATCCCTATCGTCACATCGGATTTCCCTATTGTTTCGTTCATTGTTCTCTTTTCACAACTTTTGCGTTACTGGCTACTAAGTAACTCCACTCTAGGGGGCATGATATTAGGGGAGATATAGATTCATCGCCACGCAATTTACTTCGCTGTAGCAAAGACAAGGAAGACGTCCTTTCCATGGCAGTTATTCAGTATATACCAGATCAAACACTACCATATTGTGACGTCTGCTTCCGAGAGACCAAGCTCCACAAATGTGCAAAGGTGTCACCTCTGTAGCGCAGATGTACCTAAACATTATCTTCATCCTTATCGTCACATCGGATTTCCCTATTGTTTCGTTCATTGTTCTCCTTTCACAACTTTTGGGCTACTGGCTACTTTGTTCCTCATTTCTCTATCCTTCATATTGGTGCCTTCCAGTTTAATGTGCTGATATGTGACAACTTGGACCGTTACACAGTAGTGTCGGGTTCTACTTTGACGCTAACTGGTCAAATTAGAAGACGTATAGGCGAACAATATTGTTTTCATCTGGTTCTCATTAAGCTTTATGCTAATATAAATAATTTTTTCTCGCATACGAAACATTACGTCAGTCATGGTGGATTCTTTAGTCTATGGTGACACGGAAATTAAGCATGCAAATATTAGGTGTCTAGATAATCTCATTGGTGATAAGAATAGTGGAAACAGCATGGTACTGCATACGTTTAAACAATCAATGTAGGTCAGAACTCATAAAAGTTACGTGATATTGGAGGGTAAAATGCCCAGTCGATAGTTGCTACATAAATGCAGTGGTCGCGCTTGCATGTCACAATGACCCAACAAGCCATGCTGGTGGGACGCTTGTTTCCTGGAGGTCCTACCATGCCAGAAAACTCTCTTGATTAGTGGTAAGACGAAACGCAGTTACTGTTGTAGTGTAGTCTGAGGGCGAAGTCATACTAGTACTAACGGGTTGGGGTGTGACAGCAATGAGGCATTTTCCTTGGAGGACCAGCAGTGGCACACTAATGTTGCCTTCCCGACGAGAAAAAGGGATTAGAAAAGGTCGGCCCAAAAATAAAAGTCCACCTGCCCCACGATCCTCCGGTGCTTGCGGTATGAGTTCTCTCTGTTCGGTGTTAGAACAACCAAACCTCAAAACAAAATTCCACAAAAGGTCGTGTGTAACAGGCCTCAGGGAAATGTCCTGTGAGCTCTGCGATCACTCAGAATTTTTGTCTTTGGGATACCGGGAAGCGTCAACCGCTCGCACACTTCCAGTAGTACTCAAGACCCAGTAAAACATAATCCATCCTCCGCAACTCTGTCCCCTGCTCTGTCTTTACCCCCTGATACTAACATCAAGCCTATCACACTTTCCCCAACCGCTCACTTTGCAGCTATCGCCAATGATCAAAGCCATTGAAACCCCATTCCTAGTCTCCTAAGACCCTGTTATCGATTTCATGTAGACACTTTTAACGTGCAAACTCTGTCATCGGAGAGCCAAGCACTGCTTGCCAAAACTCTAGAATCCCTAGCCATGAGTATGTTCTGTGTCTCTGAGATACATACAGGACCCGAGTGTGATTTTTCACCTGATCTCACATAACCGTAGTATTGAATCTTCGAAATCCATCTCACGATTATCTGGAGAACCACTGGCTAGTTCTCATGGATTCGCGGGTGTGGGCGTAGCATTGAGTTGTAGAGCAGAAAGTGCGCTCCTCGAATGGATACCAGTAAACAGCCTTCTATGTGAACTTTTTGGATGTATAAGGACTAGGAACGATCGTTAAACTAGGCGATGCGTATTCGTGATCTTCACCTACGCACCAACTGACTAGTTTTGATAATTATGATTATTTGTCCCTTGGGTTCCTAGTGAAACATAGGGCTTCAGTAGCACGTCGCCATTTCACTCTCTTGTCTGCATTCCTTTGAACCTGGCTCCACGACTGCCCAGAAGCTTTCATTTCTTTCCCACATGATCTCCTCCATGTCACCCTCGCTCAGACACCCAACTCATCGTTTCCCATTTGGGTCCCACTCGACGGCCTGGCCTGGCGCATGATGTCCCCAATCGGCCCTCTCAGTTTATGCCCGATCCACCTCCACTTTCTTCTGCATATTTGTTGGGCGATGGGTTCTTGGTTGGCTCGTTGCCAGAGTTCCTCCCTGCTTATTCTTATTATTCTGGCCATCTGATCTTCAGTATCGAGCGTAAGCGGCAGCTGTTGATGAAGGTCCGTAGTTTTTTGAAAATGGTTTTCGTGACGCGCAAAGCCTCTGAAGCACTGACTTGATATTAGTGTTGAAAATCCGCATCTCGTTCTTTACGTTGAGTGAAGTGCGGTAGACCTCCACACTGATTTCAGATTATTGAAGGCCTACCTTGCTGTCTTTCCGATCCCGGCTTTGACGCCCTCACGTGTGCCACCGCCTGTGGTTGAAACAATTCTGCCTAGGTAGGTGAAAGAGACTACTTGTTAGGTTTCTCCCATTTATGGTGATTGATACTTGTTGTTGGTTGGGTATCTTCATCACCTCTGTCGTCTCCACAATCACTTAAAGTCCCGTTTCCGCTACCTCTTCTGCCAACTTGATGGTTTTTGCCTGTAGACTTTCCGGTTTGTGCGGCAAGATATAAGACATAAATCATCGTCGGCGAAATACAAATCTTCTAGGATTTTTTCACCTGTCCAGCAGGGTATGCCCATCTTCTCGCTCCTCACAATTTGTCGCATAATCCAGTAGACCACAACCAGGAAGATGATCGGTGATGGTAGACAGCCTTGTCTTACTCCTGTCTTCACTTCAAAAGTGTCACTGAGCTTTCCATTCTATATAACTTGGCATGTGGCGTTGTCATATAGCTGTTGAACGGGGTTGATAAAGATTTTTGGTGCGGTATAGTGTTGAAACAGCTGCCAGATTACTTCTCGGTCGACGCTGTCGAAGGCGTTTTCAAAGTCTATGAAGTTGAGGTAAAGAATGGACTGTCATTCTGTGCTGTGTTCAATAATGATGTACAGCGTTGCAATTTGATCCGCTCATGATTTGTATTGTCTGAAACCAGCCAGCTGTTCGGTCGTGATTCTGAATTCAGTGCATCTTTTAGTCTCTGCAGGACGATGTGGCCTAATATTTTGCTTGGGTGGACGGGAGCATGATTCCGCACCAGTCCTTCAAAGACTTAGATCACCCTTCTGTGGGAATTTGACAAGGCAGCCCTTCTAATCGGCAGGTGTTTTTCCTTCCTTCCTTCCAAACCTTCTGCATTAGTGGTGTGAGCATGTCTGCTGATGCCTTTGCGTGTTTTCAGTGCTTCTGGAGGGATTCCATCTGGTCCTGCTGTTTTCTTGGCTTTTAGCAACTTTATGGCGGTCAGGACTTCTACCTTTGTCGGAGTGTCTCTGCTCATTGATAGTTCTGTGGCTGGGCGGCTGGTGGTATTTCTGGACGAGTTGCAGGTGGTGGTCGATTCAAAA